TATGGGAATTCTAAAGAATGATAAGTATTCTCACTCTGATTGATTCAATTTTCAACAGGGATCAATGTAATGGCATTGAAGAATTAGCCCTATAAAATGGAAAAAATGACAAAATATTCTCTTGTCCTAACACTTTTGCACAGTATTACAGCTATGGAACTCTTGAAAATCTCACTGGGACTTTTGAAAAAAAAAAGTTGAGAATTCACAACCCTTCACTGTGGGACCCTAGTGAGATCCCTGAAGACATATAAAAACTTCTAAAGAAAGAAATACACTTAACAAATTGGAACTAAGAAACACTCAAAAATGATGTTTTCTAAATACTAGCATTTCTAACATTACAAACATAGTTTAGGCTGTGAATGACAAATTATTTGAAAGTTAATATTTGGTATTTTCAGCTAGAATGCCATGTTATGCATGCATGAGCTAAACAGCAAAGATATAGTTCAGATATAGCCATCTCTAATTTTGAGCTACTGCCAGAGGGAAGGCCTTGCTTGTTTGTTGTTAAGCTCAAAGCTACACAATAAGCTATGTGTTGTGCTCACTACAGGTACCAAAACCTCGTTATTAGCAGAGACTTAACACTGGGTGGACTTTGTCAAGCTTTAAAATAACAATTGGATTGATTGTTACTCTTGCAAAACACTATAACTGAAAGTGGCATTGAAACATGAATCTAGATCTTCTGATCCAAAGCCTTGTGATGGTTATAATTCATAATTTCAACAACTGAAAATATGATAAATGCAGGACAAAGACATTGAGAGATTTTTAACTGAGTTATAATTTGCAATGTGAACTGAAATATTAAATTACTCCATATAGTATTGAATACCTACCGATAAAAAGACTTTTGGATCCACCACTGATATAGACAGGCTTTAATGAAGACAACATTTCTGAATAAGTAGGCACCTTAATCTGGGGGAAAGTGCATCATATTGCATGTATTAGTAAGACTGCTTAAATAGCATTACACAATCTTTTAAGTAATCATTTGTTATCTTTAATAAAATATAAAACAATAAATGAAAGAAATTACATTTCAATATTTTACAACTCAAAATACAGCTTAGATATAGTATATTTTTAATAAAAATCTAATGCTTAAAACAATTCAATCTAATCAAACCTTCTGACTATAAAAAGTAGAAAACTCATAACTATTCACTTCTATTCAAATTAATAGTCATGATCCATGAGTTACTTTTAAAATTCTATTTTAAGTAATTTACTTAATACGAAATATATTATATAAATAATTTTATTAAAATGTAGATGAAATACCTGATTGATATCACTGTGTTCAGGCTTTGTTGCTTTAATGTACGACATTAATGCGTATACAGTCAAAAAGGATTCTCAACAGTTGGTGATACTGATTTGACTTTAAAATGATTATCTCAGACTTCCCAGACTTTGAATTGTAAAAACTGTTATGGTTAAATGGGTGGCATTGACTAAAACATTATGTCACCTTGCATTTATAATTTTCTAATGTTTTTACTCAGTGAGATATCACATATGATAAAATTTAGATATTAAAAAAATGTAAATAATTGCACAGAGAAAGCATTAGGGGAAGAAAGAAGGTAAAACAAAAATAAGAACCACACTGAAAAAAAAAATGCCACCAATAACAACAGGCATCAAATCATTAAGATGTAATACTACTTTACCTTTGATCCTTTCAGGCCACCAAGTTGATCTTTGTCATTTAGCCCCCACACTAGAACCTTTGTCTGCAAATCCTGGGTAGCCTGTCCTCGAGCCCGACTTGCTGAGCCTAGTATCACAGGCTTTTCCTCTTCAAATTCTTCCTCATCTGAGGCCAGAAATGGATAGTTAGCAGCTAAATCATCATCATCTGTGCGTAACCGTCCAATGACAGACAATCCATGAATCTTGCAATCTATTCCTCCGCTTCGACACTGTTTGATGGCAATCTCAATAAATCGATAGTACTGAAAAATATTAAAATGCAAATAATTACTTTCTCTCTCTCCAACTCTGTATTTCTTTGTACCATACACTTAACAAATTTGATAATTTACAAAGTATACATTAACAATGAAAATTAAGATTCCTACTTCAAAGGAACATAATGTTTTCAGACAAAGAAATTATTTAATAATCTGTTACTTTCTATATGTAATACAAAGGTCATTACATTAAAAGTATTTTCATCTTACAGAAACATGCACTGTCTGACAAGCTGCCTTTGAATATAACTCAGTTATGGGTTGGATTAGTATCTGTTTGAATGGCTTCAATGAATAGTTACCCCATTCGAGGATGCTTAAGGATTGGTCAGCAGTGCAAAGTTAAGATTTTGAAACCTATTTTAAGGTTATTAGTGGTTTCAGTTGATTCATCATTTCACTAGGATGGCAAGAGATTACCTTAGAATGACAGCCGAGAGTATTGTACATAGTGGCTGGCCCATGTACTCACCAGAATTCATCCAAATAGAACATGCTCCAGAGACAGATTTATGCAGTGAGTCTAATCACACAATTGCACTCTTGAAAGAAGGCACTGATCTTCAAAGTGCGATAAATTTTGTAATCTGCAGTATTTCATTCACAGAAAGCTACCTCAATCTTCTTAGTGCTCCCTAAGCTAAAGCATTTTATTACTCAGATCACCAGTCTATATACTTCACAAGTTTTGCACCCTCTTTGAACATGTATATAGCATGTGACTACCTTCCACCAATAGTACTGTGCCACCTATATTTGTGCAGCTAGGTCCCTCTGATTTTCCCACTCAATCCTCACTTTCAAGAAATGGCAGGATCTGAAATGAATAATACTGGCAGTGGGGAAGAAGGGTGAGAAATGTGTGTGAGATAAGGTAAGTACCTATCAGAAATACACTTTCAGTGTAAGAAAATGTTAACGTCCACTATGGTCTTACCTCCTTTCACACAAAGCTAGAATCCTACACTGAAAAGGTGAAGGGGCCAGTGTAGGCACCTAACAGTGAAACCAAGTGAAAAGTGACCACATAGAAATAATTAGTGGGCCAAAGACAAAACCAAAGCACACATGCAGGGCACTGCACTACTTCTGGAACAGGTATACTCTTCCCATGAAGAAAGAAATGAACCTGACATGGGCAGAAAAAAAAGGATGAGCACAAGCTTAATTCATTCTGAGAGATGTAATCCACAGTAAAAATTGTTCTAGTTGAAATCGTTCTCCATCGCTAAAACCAGACCAGAAAACAGCCATAAAACTCAATACCCACACGAGGAGAAATGGCAAGTCAAAGGTTTGCTGAAATACAATGATAGAGAAAGACATTTAGCCATGGCGAAGTATCTACCCAACCTCAACAAGACAGACAAGGTTCCACAGCCTGTCCTTTCTCAGTAAAAACTGTTCAAGTTGAAATCGTTCTCCATCGCTAAAACCAGACCAGAAAACAGCCGGCCACCATATTTGAATAGACACTCTATGAAAACGAATACTTGAAGCTAACTCAATACCCACATGAGGAGAAATGGCAAGTCAAAGGTTTGCTGAAATACTAATGATAGAGAGAGACATTTAGCCATGGCAAAGTATCTACCCAACCTCAACCAGACAGACAAGGTTCCACAACTTGTCCTTCGCAGTACGAGGTTGAGTATCACACAGATAAGAACAAAATTAGAGTATCACAAACACTGTGGCTAGGGTATGTGGACCATGTTATATATATATATATATACACACACACACCAATCCCAACCATAAGCAAATAGAGTGCCATACAATAAGCAACTGGAATTAAGGGGAGGTAATTAGCATTTGGCTGAAACTAGACATAATCCCAAAACAACTGTAGGAGCAAGAAGTACAACAAACTGAACCCAGCATTACAAAGTTGTGTCATGGTCTCAATTCAAGTGTAAGAACAGGGCAATACCTGTAATCGGATAAGTCTAAATACACCAGCCTAAGGAGTTGACGAACCCAACTAGTTAGTGAGACAGGGGATAAATCATGGGAAACAAAAAAGTTCTAATAAATGAAAAGTCCAGAACATGAATCTCAAAAGGAGGACGTCTTTGCCACATAACACCTAAGGGAGCGAAGCTGACAAAGAAGCCAATCTGGATCAGAATGGGATATGGAAGCTAAAGACATTGGTATGAAAGTCAAATGGCCTTCCTGGACAACAGAGGTTTTAGGACCAGTCTGTATACAGTACAACATAAGAGGAATAGTAGGGGATTCTAGCAACATCAATAGCACAAATATCTGATCGATGATGTCCACAAGCCAGGAGGAAAAGAAAACATGTAGTATACAACATACCTGATTAACAAGCTGTAGAAGTGTATTGTGTGACAGACCAAAATAAAAAGGTGCCGGAACAAGTGAATCCAATTTTCTTCTCCTTGATTGTATTCATCCTCAGAAACTGTCAGGTTGAAAATGAGAAAAAACTGCCAGCCAAATTTAGGAAGCTAGCTACCTGCAAATCAAGGTCTGTACCTCCTCAGCAAGTAAAGTCAAACACGATGCCTGAGTAGTCATAACAGAAGCATTGTCTACTGTAATGGGAACTTCCACTGTCCATATGTTGAATCTCAAAGTCATTCTAAGTTACCATATAATTCAGTAACAATAAACAAATGCAAAAAAAGAAATTGAAATAACTGAATGCAAACACAGTAAAAGAAAACTGTTGAAAAAGGTATTGAAATGTGAAGGAAGTATAATCGTAAACAGTAGTCACAAAAATATTTTTACAATGCTTAGAAGATAGAAAGAAGATCAAGATAGTTTTGAGAGAAAGTAAGACCATATTGGAAGTACATGATTGATGCAATTGTTGTAATACTATAAATATGACCATGCTCAGAATATCATTAGTATGACATGGAAAAGATATCCCTTGCCTCTTGAAATAAATCTTTAGTGTTATATTTAACCTTTTTGATGTGAGAGTGTAAAAGAGCACCACATGACATTTTAAAGAATTACTTTCAAAATTATATTAAATAACTTTACTATTACTTTTGCCAATGGTGTTAATGGAAGTGACATCAGAAAATAGTTTATAATTCAAATTTCAATATTATATGTGTTTTATTTTCTTAATTCAAAAGAAAATATAAAGAAAAAAAATGCTAAATATTACTTTTTGTGTGTCATATAGGAGTTCCTATTTATTACACCTACCACACAAAGTGTGCTGTAGTTAATGAATTAGAAACTCAAATTGGAGATATTGACAAGTTATTATGAAAAATAAGAACCTCCTATCTTTTTGATTTGCTGAGATATTAATATATTTAGCCAATCTAGTAGTTTGGCTCCTCCCACTACTCTATTCTTTCAAAACCTCTTGTCTAGTCCTACCTACTTCTTTTGACTAAGAGTTTATAACCAATAGAAAGAGTAGTTTCTTGTGTACATAAATCTTATAGGCATTTGTAAATAGTTTGAAGGAGAAAAATCATAACTTTGTCCAAATTACTGAAGACAGAGTTGATGACAGAGTTATTACTCTGAAGAGAAATGTGATTTTTTAAAACTCATATATAGCTTCTTTAGAAACTCAAATAAGTTAGAGATTTTGTGTGCACTAATATAGTAAAATAATAACTTTATTTTCTAATATTATACAGGAAAAATATAAATTTAATAATCTTCACCCTCCATTCAGAAAAATAAATGAGTCTTAACATGTGCAACAATCGACCACAAAATCTCATAAGCACTCAAAATCTTTGTTTTTTTAAGTTTCTTTTATTTGTTCTTCTACATTTTAAAAGAAAACAACTAAAATGTATGCATTTGTAAATAAATAATAACAATATGTATATATACCTTTTTAATGTATGGTTGCCAAAATTTCACTATATTTTGCAAAGTACTAAATTACTGGTATTATAGCTATAGATTTGTACTTCGTAGGCCTATATAGTTATGTCTACTGAATTTTGTATTATTCTTCTAATTTTCTATATTGAGGTCAAATTAAAAGCAAATTATGCTGCTTTAGAAGTTTAACAACTTAAAAAAAAAGGTTTACTCATAAAATTTTAGAAAGAAACAAAACTTTACAAATGTCTATAAACCTATACAATGTACTGCTAAATTCCTACAATCCCAGAAGGATAATCAATATTCAAAAAACTGCGATGTTTATTGTATTAGCATCAAACCACATAATAAATGTTTTGACAAATTCAAAGTGCAGTCTTATTAATCTGGATAATTCTTGTTGTAAACATACATACATAAGCCTATAAATTCCACCTCCTGTTATAAACACTAAGTTATATCATCTGATACATTACGCATTCTGTTCTCGGAGTAGGGGTCAAGTTGACAATATCTTTGCATGTGCTTTGTTGCTTTCAAGGGTATTGTATTATGGTGACACATAAACAGTCTACTGAACAAATGGGAATTTGTTGTTTTAATTTTAACAGATTTCTATTTAAGTCATTGCGAGTAAAATAAACACAGAAAATAAATGTGAAATGTTTAGCAGTTGAAACTCTCAGGAGAAGTACTTTGAAATTTCATGAACAATAATAAAGAAAACAGGGCACAGCTGCTTATTTTATTCCCAATTGATTTTCCAATTTTTATTTTCATTATACTTTGATTATTTTTCTACAGTGAAGAATAAAATGTACCATTAGAGTAGAGGTAATAACAGATAAAATACAATGTTTTACTATAAAAAGAGTTTTATATTTAGTTAGGAGTTTTGAGTGATTACACAATTGAAATTGAGACTTTTGAGAAACGCAAAAGTATTTTCATTCTTAAGACAAAAATCACTATGCTCTTGGATTAGTAAAGAAAAAAAGATTTGATTTATTCCCAAACAAACTGTTTGTAAAAACTATTTCATAAAAAAAACAAATTTTTCGTGTACAAGCAACTTGTAATGTTTACTGAAAGTCTGCCAAATTTTGTGAAAATATATATACTGTATTAAAAGTTATTGTAATAAAACTATATACAAGAAAATATGGTTACGTGGTCGGTTCCTGGGACCAGAACCGTATTGTAAGAGTTAAAGTAGCTGTGAATGAGTTGCAAGTCTTATCCATTTCTTGTTCAAAACTTTTTTGTCTATAAAAGAGTGGGATGAAAACAAATGGCCAATAGCTTTAATATGACATTAGTCTACCATGAGCCTACAGAACAGCCCTAATTGCCCCCAGTGGCACAGTGGTATGTCTGCGGAATTACAACATTAGAAACCAGTTTTTGATACCCATAGTAGACAGAACACAGATAGCCCAATGTGTACCTTTGTGCTTAACTTTAAACAACAACAGCCCAAACTTAGCTTAGCAATAAAGAACAACAAGAAGTTGAAAGTTTTCCCAGGTATATTACCTCATTCCTTAACAAGAACCATATACAAATCCTTCAGGGATGTTGAGAGCTGATTTCAAGACTACCCCAAAAATGTTCAAATGGAATTTCAGTTCACTTTAGTTTTACATACATTCCACTTACTTTGAAGTTAGTTAGTTCTCTAGTCTTAAGACAAATCTTGTTTCCACTTTCAAGTCACTATAATATTATGTCTAAATTTGGAGTATTCTATATTTATAATTGTAAGCAGTTAAAGTTAATTATTACATTAAAGTTAAGCAACAGCTGATATAAGGAGACTACACATCAACTTAAACATAAGACTTCAGCAGCAGTTTAAGGAAGGACATTTACTTAGACAATCATGTAGACTTAAAAACTTTTACCTTCTTTAATGCATTTGCATCATGCAGTTTATTCTTAGCACAAATTATTATATCAACAGACTTGTCACAAAGTTCACAAAATATTTAACCCTATTGCCCCTGGCACCATTTTTAAATTTCTTTCTGCATGTGGTACTGCATTACATTCAAAATTTAATTAAATGACTTTATTATCAATATATGTTAATGAAATTAACATTATAATGTATGTTATAATTTGAATTTTTATGTTATCTAAGTTATAATTCCTTTATTTCAAAGGAAACCTTTCAAATAATAATTAAACTGCAGTTTTTGTGTCATGTGATCCACGCACTATGAAAAATCTTGACTTTAGCAGCAGTTCACTTGTAGCCATATAAGCTGGCAATGTACATGAGTATGTATACGCTACCTCACGTGTTTGACCTACTTGACACATGATATACAAAGTCTGTAGCTGTAGATATAAATTTTCCAACTCTTGATGGGTACTATGCCCATCTCCTATACTTGAGAGTCGTTAGAAAGAGCTCAATTTGCACTATACTCCACCAATGGTTAATTGAAATTGACATAAAATTTTCTTCACGGTGTACATGTAAATAGCATTAGTATTGTTGTCTGCTTGATCGACTGTAGCAATCACAGTGGTTTCTTACCTAAGTATGTCAGAGTTAGAGAGACAGTTAAATTGTATTTAGGTCTTACTTTCATATTTTAGTTAATTATGTATGATTTGTGTTTTTAAAATCATATTTGGAAGTTTAATGATTTTTATAAGTTTAACTTCTTGTCGCCTGGATTGCAAAAGTGTATAAATAAGATGGTGTCATTGCGTGTGTAAAGCGTTAGTGAAATGAGTCTCTGTGTGGGAGTTGCCATATAATAATAGTAAAGCCCCATGACTACCAGTTGACATATTGATAAATAATAAAAGACAAAGAATTCAAAAGGAAAATTAGAGAAACTATAAGTGAAAAGATAAAGACATGAAATTATGCATATTAAAAAATCAAGTTTCAAAAGACTTCTACAGAGAGCTAAAAGGTATATATATGTTTTCATTTCTTAATTTTAAACATTTCATTGCACTATACATTGATGACAATAGGTAGAGTCAGTGATATAGTAGAGAAAATGGAAAATATAAACATTTACCTTAAAAACTTTTGATATTCATTTAGCAAATTTTAGAGATTATGCAAATGAAATGTCAAAAATGTAAGATAAGAAATAGTATTTTGATACTTCATATAAAAATCACCTTGCATGTGAACTATTCAGAGTCCAAGTGCAAATAACTACATTAAATAAAAAAAAATATTATATATATTAGAAAAAAATAATAATTAAATATTTTATTTTTTTCTGACACTACAAACTTTTAGGAACATTCTTGTCAATTCTTTAACAATTTCATCCACTAGTTTTATTTTTGGAATGAAATATTATGAGAGCAGCATTAGCTATGAGTAAAATTTGTAGACAGGTCTAATAGGGTTAAAAAGTGTGACCAGTCGTAATAAAAGGATGATTTTACTCAGATGATTTTACTGGGTGTTGGTTTTATACATTCTATTTTGAAGTATATTTTTAAATATTTTATTTAGATAAAAAAAAATCAACCTCATGCATTCAAAAAATGTTTAAAAACGATTTTTACCATTTTTCATGGTTCAACCTGTTAAACACACTCACCTCAGAAAGTTCAGACAGAAGAGTAACCAAAGTCTCTGTCGAGCCAACATGAATAGTCCTGAGCTCCTTCAACCAAGAAACTGATGGACCACCACTAACTACCACTAAAGAAGGCATGTAGCTTGAATCTGCTGGGTCGATCATCATTCTGAGACGATGGACAAGAACCTCTGGTTGCATCTCTAGTCTTATCCAATGCTAAGCAGTAAACAAATGATAAGAACACATAATGTGCAGAGTAGGAAATTATAAGTATAGAATCAAATGACAAGCAAGGAGAAAAACTCTACATATTCATAAGAAATACAGAATACAGTATTAAGCCATTATGAGCAAACACTACTAAGTAGGAAAAAGAAGCTGGACATACAGCAAATTTTTGGTTAAAAAACTGCAAAAAATCAGACTAGTAAATTAAGTCACTATAAATTGCATAAGTACACTATTCTGTGTAATAGATATAAATTTTCTGAACAAAAAAAAATCAAAACAGAGCACTAAGTTTCAGTTCTTATTTCAGAAAATTTAAACAAAGAAAATACTTAATAACCTGTTACTTTTTATCTATAATACACAGATTATTAATCTAAAATTATCCTTTCTTTGAGAATAATATGAAATATAAACAGAAACCATATTTAAGTGACAGTGATGTAAACACACTTTTGCCAAAAACAGTGTTATATTTTGAGTAACCACTTTTCCTAAGGTCTAGAGGTTTAATTTTTATTGTATTTAGTATATATCTACATTCTGCATAAGTTTATTAGTTACAATGTACTACAGAATGCATATGAGGTTACTGAAATACAGTGCTGAGTAGTGCACAAAATCACAGTATACAACAATACAATAAAGAATTGAACAGCTATCTATAAAATATAAACCAAATAACTAAGGGCATTGTAATGTAAGACTCTATACCTAAGGAAAGGCAGTAGACCAAAGTTCAGTCCTTTTAATAAACAAATATTTTTGAGGAGCGTATGTCTATTTCATTAACTTTCTGCATATAGTATTTTATTGCCAATTCACTATTTATTACTTTTACTACAAAATACACTTTAATGTTTATCTACTAATAACAGTACGAGATGACAAATTTATCAAAGTCTGAACAAGTGCTCATATAATATTATACTATGAGCCAGTATAAAGATCAAAACAGCAATTCACTGTATACCAAGTAATCATCACATTACTAAAGCTACTATCTCTGGAACTTGCAAGAAAAAAGAAAAATTACAACATACAAAACCAGAGGACAGTTTACAATAATCATCATGTCATTCGACCTACTAGATAAAATTAGGTTCTTATGAATATACAGAAACTATCTCACTTTTCAAATTTAATAACATTTGCATTTTATTAATTAACATCAATTCACAGTAAACAACACCCTTCTCTGTCTGACTTTAAAAATGTGATTATCCTTTACATATTTTTCCCAATCAAGAATAGAGATATTATATACTTCCTGAATGTAAAGTAACTTGTAAGTTAAATATTTGTTGTGCCATTACCAGGTTACAATAATGTTAACACTGCTTGGAAAAACCACACAAAAATAAAAGATATAACATTGATCATTGGCACTTTTTGTCTATATATACACACAAATTTTTGTCAAGTGCATCAGGGGCTTAAGGAATGGATACTTGTCACGTACAAGAAAGGAAAACAATACAGATACAATTAATGTGTAAATATAGACTATCAACTCCCTAGATGTCACATCTGGTAGGAAGATTGACTTGACAAGCATAGTTGACATTTGATACAAAGATACAAGTGAGGTTGTGCTTAGATGGGCTAGTCATCCAAAACTTTCAGCTGAGTAGATGCTCATGCAATGAAACATTCTAACCATATAACCCCTCTTCTTAGCAGGAAAAGATAGTTTTGCACATCAAGAAGAAAATGTTGTAAAAAAAGTGCAATGTACAATGGAGAAATTTTTACCAGTGATATAGCACATAATGAGACAAAGACCTGTAATATTTCAGCAAACTTCAAAGGTTGCACTTATGGCACCATAATGTCAAATAAAGCTTGCACTGGTAATATCATTGTTGATTTATCAACACCAAAAGTGGCCAAGGTGTACAACAATGCTCTACTTAATTGTTTGAAAGAGCTGTAGAGAAACTTTGGTACTTCAGAGTCAGTCATTTAGTTGGAACTACACACAACTAACACTGATGAAGAGTTCCGAACAGTCCAGCAAATTTGGTTTAAATGTGTCATTGCTTTGTAGTGAACATAAGAGTCAATGATGATAAAATGACTGGTAAACTTTCTACTGTAGAGGTCTAATGCATATTTTGTTTACTTTATCATTAAAGTTTTTCTACTATGGAATCTCATTAGCTAATAAAGGACCCTCCCCTCCAGATATTTTGGGCTAAACACAATTTTTTTGTTTAAATTAGTAAAAATATACATACTTTGAGCTTTAAAACATACAATGCCTTATAACTGCCTTATTACATTAAATATATTTTAGCCTACATTTACTTCTCGTTCTACCACCTTCTGATGATAGATATTGCTCTGAAAAAAAGTGATGATCACCCTTGCAGAGGTCCCATGTTTGAAAAACAATATCTCCTTGACCAAAAAGTGCATCAAAAATCTTATTAACCCTCTCGCTACAGGTAAGTAAAAGTGCACATCACAAATGTTTAGAGTGTTACTTTCAAAATTTAATTAAGCTACTTTATTTTTATAGTATACAAATAAACTTGGCATCAAACTGTGGTTAGTAAATCATATTTTAATATAAGTTTTAAATTCTTAATTTTATGAGGCAATATTAAAAAAAAATCCTCAATTTCTCTTTGTATGGGAATTGTAACATTTGCTCTCTAGGTATCCCCACTTCTCAGTTGATTTACCATCCCTCCATGAAGTAAGAAACTTGATATAAATTACTCATTATAATATTGTTATTACTCATACAAAGCATAATTTTTATAGTCTTCAATCTTATATGGTCACAAAGCCACAACCTAGAAAATCAGATCCCTCTTGAAACACCCACCTGTCACATCCTCTTTCACAAATTGCCAATAGTTCTATCTGACATTGAAAACAATATTACTTATAATCCATAAAAAGTCAAACTTTAATCTATCAAATGATATATTATATTACATTGTTTTCTATACAGAGTATTTTCAATTTCACTTCCAGTTTGAAAATTTCTCTCACAGTATTCACATCAACAAGCTTAGATAAATTTTTAAAGGCTCGTATCTCAAAATTAGAAAGCCAGCAATATTATGATAGTTATAGGACATTGTTTGCTTTTGCACATTATTATTATTAAATGTATTAATTAATTAAATAAAAAATTATTTAGTGTCATAGTACCATTAGCATAAAAAAGTAGGTCGAAAGCAAAATAAAGGATTCAAGTAAGTACTATATTTCTTGTTTTTTTATGTGTATTTTTTACTATTATCAAAGTAATTAATATGCAAAAATTAGAAACTTATTAGGTTAAATAAGATTAGATTAAATAACATGAAAAAAACAAAACACTTCTTCAAGAGGTATAGTTGCAAGAAACTTGCGAGTAGCTCATGAGTTGTGTAAATCAATACAGTAACATGAGCTACATGTTTACCAGGTGATTTAGAACTTGGGTAACTTACAAAAAGCAATAAAACAATAAAATTTAAGTATAAACTGTTACAATTTTTAAACTATTTCGGATAAATAACTGTAGGTTCCTGTTACAATTAACAGTTATTCTAGAAAGAAAAAAGGGTAATTTATATTTATTTTGCATGTTTTTATGGTGGTTATGAGGTTGGTGTATAGAGTTAGGGTAAAGAAAATAACAGATAAAATATAGTTTTATTGAAAAAAAAATTACATTTATTTAGGAGGTTCTAGAAATTAGGCAAATGAAGTCTGACAATTTTCAGATGAAGAATTTTCGTTCTTAACATGAATATCACTTTACACTCAGAGCAGTCAACATTTTGACTGAATATATTCAAAGAGAAAGTTTTAGTAAAAATACTTCATTATAAATTCTGATTTTTTTGTCTAAAACACTTATAATATTTACTGAAAGCTTGCAACATTTTGTGAAGATACACAAAACATATTAAAAGTCATAGTATGGAAACTCTAAAGGTCAATTTGGAGTCACAAACATGGCAGAATTGACCGAGCCCATAGCAAGAATGTTAATGCATTCTTCATATCTTAAACCAATCTATAGTTGACATAAATGTCATACTCAAATAAAATAGCACAATAGCCAATTTTCAAAAGTTGGTCAAAATGTGTAAAATAAGGTGCTTTTCTCAATAACAAGCAGTTATGACAATTATACTGATGGTCCAAAAATAATACAGAAGTTGCTTTTGTTTAAAATTTTACAAATATGAAAATGTATTTCTAATAGATACTCACCTCTCACATGGAAAAGCTATCTTCCTTGCACGTCTACCTATAAAACTTGCATGCCACTAGCCTTGAGGCAACTCCCACCTAATTTCACATGTTTTAATGTAAGTTGTAGTAGTGCATGATGACATCATCATTGGAAAAAAGCCCTACACCAATAGGAGTGCAACACAACTTCCATGCACAGTAACTCTTCCTATGCACTTTCACCTGTTGTAACTTCATTCTTAGGCGAGGCAAGACAAAAAATGTGCCACAGAATTATGGATGTCAGGTGGGAATATGTGCAGAGTTGAGTATCTATCAGATATACATTTTCAGATTAAAAAAAATGTTAACTTCACTTCATATACAGAAAAGTTAAAATCCCACATCAAAGTGGTGGAGGAGCTGGAGCAAACTGTACCTAGATTAGCTCCCTTCAGAAATTGTCCAGAGGAAAGCCCAATAGCAGGAATTTAACAGGAAAGGTCTTTACTGGAGACAGTGTAATGGGTGACTGTGAAACCTTATTTTTAAAAGCAAGCAAGTGCAAGCCAAAGAAGAGGGCAGAATACTTCCTTGGTGCTGCCATGTTAGTCAATGGAATAGGTATGGTGTGGATCAGAAAACTGAGTAAATATATATATATCACGAGGATACCTCAAGTGGTCTTGCAGAATCCCCCATCTCAACAGTGAGCATTGGCCGAGCCAGGACGGATAGTATGAGTACTTTCTGTTATCCTAACTTGATGAGAATTTTGGGTAAGCATACCCTAGGAGTCAAGATCAGTCACCTGGCAGGACACTTTGAAATTAAAAAAAGAGGCTCTGAAACAAAAATTGTATGTATTCTTCTCATAGACAGTAATGTAATTGAAGAATGGCAATCAGTGGAAATCAAAATCCATCAGAAGACAAAACAGTTAGATGGTGTATATAAAGAGATGACCGTGTGCTCAAATGAAGGACCTCCTATGGTCTGACCTAATGAGATACAAGAAAATGTAAAAGGCAATGAATCAAATGCAAAGAAATGCGAATTAGCTAGCCTACATGCATCCCCATCCAGAGACAAACATACCTACAGGAGGAGCTGACTGACACAACCAGTAAGGGTAAAAGGAGAGGGAACCCTTGAAAAAGAGGGATCCCAGAGTAGGGACAGATAATGGCAGGGATCCCAAAAAGGTCTGTGATAAATAACACTAACAAACCCAAACATGGCACAGGAACCGAATTGGGTCCAAATGATCAAAGAGGTGAGAAAGAAAGGAGGAAGGAAAGAAAGTATGATTATTTTGCTGAGTGATTGAGATCTGAGGAAGGAATATTGTTCTGAGAAGAGGAGAATATAAGTGCAGTGAAAGAGAGCATGGCAAGCATACATAGCACAGACATCCAAAAGACAATAATCACAGGTGAGAAGAAAGAGTAAATTAATCTGGGCTGAAAGACGGTACAAAATACAAGAAACCAACAGCTCCAAAGGGCATGCATGGGATTGTGCAAAATCCACTAAGGTCTCAGACAGGCATGGGGGTCAGGCAAAGAGGACAGAGGAGAACAAAGGAGAGAACAGGTGAAGAAACTTGTGGTACTTGGAAAAGCAAAATTCTATGAACAAGGCTGCTCAACAACTAATAGGAACAGAGATCAACAACTGATGAAAAAACACCCAGGTAAAAAGGCAGAAAGGTGGTTCATAGTATGACAACCAGGAGGAAAGGAGTAATAGATGTACCAATGACAAAATATCTGTCACTATCAGCATTAGGCAAACATAGTCGAAGGGTGACAGGAATGTGACAGGTAGGATGCCACAAAATCAAAAAGTCTGGCCTGACAGGTGACAGATTGGGCAAATTTCAAAATATTCCTCAATGAAAAGGGGATACATAAGAGTGAAGCAAGAGAGAGGGAATATTGACATGAGAAAGGGGGACTGAATGCCAAGCAGACCAAGGCTGAGCTGGCTAAAGAGGTGCCAACAACAGGACATGACAAGATGAGTTGTGTATAAATGCGATGATCCGAGGGAGAAGACAAGGAGGGGAATAGGTATATAGAAAGAAGTTAGACCAGGCCTGGTTGCAAGAATTAACAGCCAGCAATAAAATATCAGGTACAGGTGACTAGAAGAGAAGAAGCCTGGAAGTTAGAAGGGTAGCAAAGGTGTGTATGAAGAGCATGCCCAACCAAGAGCAGACACAATAAAAGACTTGTGGGTGTAGAGACCACTCCATTGGTAGAATGCAGTCTGGCCAAGAGAGGCAGTCTGCCATCAAGTTCTTAGCTACTAGCAAATGATGGGTAGCAAGAGAAACCTGATGTGAATGGGCTCAGAAGAGTATGTCCAACACTTAAAAGCAAAAGGTCCTGAAATGGTACTTCTCAGATGGTTGGTGCAAGAAAGAATGTGGAAGTGACATGACCAAGTGATCTATCAGTAGGAGCAGAAATGGGAACATGCCCAACAAACAGCAAGAAGGTCAAGCATGTTGATGTGGAGTGAACACTCATCCTGTGTCCAAACGCCAGCTTTTGTCCAGAGATGTGCCTCAGTGGAGGGATAGTCTTAGTTTGAGTCAGAAAGGAAACACCAGAAGTAGTATAAGCATGGTACAGTCAACATAACAATTCCTTGAGGAGATGATCACAAATGAGGGCAATAGAGCTGAGGAAAGAAACCCATTGGTCCACAAGCTCCACTGGTTGAGGCACATGTGTATATGCTCCAAGTGAATGAGGGATTCCAGGGAAGACAGAGATGAAGAATATGTCCAAAAATTATGAGAGGGCTTGAGAAAAAGACTTAGATCTAAAAAAAAAAGCCCTCCCAACCAAAAAGCCTCCAGTGAAAGAAGGGAAGTGTGAGAAGAGGAAACCAACAGTGAATGGGCCAACAGAAATCAATCATCAAAAAAAAAAGGAATACCAGCCCAGGAGCATGAATATAGCAAATGAAGGCCCTCATCCAATGTTTATAAAAAAAGGGTCCAATACTATGTTGGTGGGAAGAGCAAGGAATGTGAAGGCATAAAATTGATGGTTGGAATGTAGAAAACATACAGATGATGGATCAAGAGTGATATGTAGGAAGGTGTCCAATACATTAACTATGACTCACTGCAGACTTGCATAGATGGGTTGAAGGGAGGGGAAAAGAAATGAGAAGAGAAGCAAGGATAGAGACCAAAGTAAAGAATTGAAAAACGACTATTGCCAGAAAATTAGACCAACAGCAAGAGAAGAGATAGATACCTACAGGGACATATGTGTCTGATAGTCACTGAGAAGAAGATCCATTTACTAAGACTTCTGATAGATTGGTGGGAAGAGCAAGGAATGTGAAGGCACAAAATTGATGGATGGAATGTAGAAAACATACAGATGATGGATCAAGAGTGATATGTAGGAAGGTGTCCAATACATTAACTATTACCCACTGCAGACTTGCATAGATGGGTTGAAGGGAGGGGAAAAGAAAATGAGAAGAGAAGCAAGGATAGAGACCAAAGTGAAGAATTGAAAAACGACTGTTGCCAGAAAATTAGATCAACAGCAAGAGAAGAGATAGATACCTACAGGGACATATGTGTCTGATAGTCACTGAGAAGAAGATCCATTTACTAAGACTTCTGATAGATCGAGGATTAGAAAAAGAGGAAGGCCTGGAACCTGTAATATGTAGGTTAAAGGCAGATTGGTACAGATGAGGACCAGGAGTAAAGGACATGGTCAAGAAAGAAACAAACCTGGGAAGATAATAAGGACTGAAGCTTATAATGTTAGTCTAGGTAACCAGAGAGAAGACATCAGGGCAAAGAAAGGGAGTCCAATGAATACCATGTACACAAAAAGAAGGAAAGAGTACAGTAAAGAGGAACATAACCCAACCCAATGAGTTCCAACTTCAGTCTAAGCTGGCATAAAAAAGGGAATGAACATCAATATTATTTTTTGGCACTTGCATATAACGTGATAAACATAAAAACATGAAGAATCCACACTTAAGATGCCATAGATTGGCCTGAATTAAAAAATATTTTTCATTGAGTTATTTATTCATTTATTATTTTAGGGAATGAACATCTACAGAAAACTCATCTGAAGCATGATGAAGTACCACAGACAAAAGGCAGAGGTAGGATAGAGAGCATACAGGAGGTTAGTGAGAAAAAAGATGAAAACAAGAAAATGAGGAACCAAATATCAAACAAAAAAAAGGGACAAGGGGCTGATCTCGAAACTGGCCAAATAGAGATCAAGAAAAGGAAAGGAAAAAAGTCTACAAGTCAAGACAAGAAAAGTCACAAACACCAGGTGGATGAGGCATTTTGGTGTGAGATAGGATCTATTAGAGAAAGGAAACAATATAAATCATAATAACAACCAAGGAGGAAAGACAAGTAATCCCTAAGATATTGTGGATCATGGAGTAAAAAACAATAAATAAGAAATAACATAGGCAAAAGATAAGGAAAGGAACATACTTCAGGATGAAATTCGGAAAGAGAATGGAAGGTTAATGTCACTTCCTGAAGTTACTACTCAAAGCAAATCATTCCAGAATGAGGAGAAAGAATTTTGGCCAAAGGGATGGGAGCAGGAGGCCCAGAAAGCATGTGGTAATCACAACACACTGAACAATAGCTGCAATGTCCAACAGTTAACAAGCCTCCAGAAGCCGTAGAAGAAATAAGACCTGTGTGTGAATAATGTCATTCACACAGGACTAAGTCACTATCATTTGAGAATTTACAATGTAAATTAAAGCTTTTGAAACAAAAGCCAAAGAAAACAAAAATCAAAGTTTCTTTAACAATGCAAACCTCAAAAAATTGAACTCAGATAAGAAAATTAAACATCTGTTCATTACAATGTCGAGGAGATGAATGAAGTTATACAGAGCGTAAGTGCATAGGGAAGTTACTGCACATGGAGGTAGTGTCACCCTCCTATCAGTAGAGAGCTTTTGTCGCATGATGACCAGTGCAGTTCATGTTAAAATACGTGGAATTAGGTGGGAGTTGCCTCAAGATTAGTGGCATGCAAATCTTGTAGGCAGACATATGAGGAAGAGAACTCATCTCTGTATGCAGAAAAGCTATCATCTCAGAAAAACTTTTTTGTCATAAACAGGAAGAAACATAAGAAAAAGAAATTTTACAACAGAATTGTTTTTCTAATAAAAAATATCATATTGTATTATATAAATATTACTACCAATATACTTTTGTGGGCTTAGTTATTGGGAGATCCTCACAAATAGTAATGTACTATTTGAAGAATCAGTTTTCTATATTTGTTATTAAATTATTCTATTAGAAATGAGCAACTGAACAGTTTTTACCTAAACATTGTCCACAATATAGTACTAGAAATGTTATTTTCCAAATACTAGGATGTCTTTATCAACACTTTTTCTTTAGTCAATAATTTAGATTTTAGAAAACATTCTTACCTTGCCTTGAAACCCACAACTTTGCCAGAAAGATCTGGTGCCATCAATTAGTCTGTAAGCCCAATTTTCACGTGAAGAAACAGTAAGATTTCTGACACACTGGGACCACTCTTCAATGTAGCCGTTGATAGTTAAAGATACTGGAACACCTTCTCTATCTCTGTGTCGTACCTTACCAGGGTAACCAACATATATTGGTGTTCCACCTGTTGTTGACATAAAAATAATTTAAAAAAGTAATAATTATCAGTGTTAGTTATGCAATAGTTTGATGTTAAACAGATTTTACAAACCACTGAAAAGTTATAATTCACTTACACTGAAAATGTATTTCCAACAGGCACTTACTTCCGCTCACATACATAGCTATTCTAGTTCAATGCTGCCCTCTATTTGCAAACTTTTTTTGCATGCCACAAGCCTTTCATTCCTATGCACAACTCGATTCATATGGTTTAACTGATTCTTGCATACAAATTATCATGTGACAAACCTCCATCAATAGTAGTGCCACACACCCACGTGATTCATGTGACTCCCTCTATGTTATTTCTACCTAACTATCACTTTGAGTTTAGGAGAGAAATATAAGCATTGGTTAACAGTGCGGAGGAAGGGTGGTAAGTGTGAGTGGAAGTAAGTGCTAATTGGAAATACATTTTCAGTGAAGAAAAATTATAGCTTCCAACAAGGTACTTTACTTCCACTCATATACATAGCCAGAATCCCACATTGAATAGGTGGAGGGACCGGAGTGAGGAAGAAAGTAGAAGCATCCTTTGAAAGCATTCAAAGGACACCTTAATGAGGGAACTCTCTAATAAGAGGATTAAACATGGGAGGCTGCACTATTTCTGTACCAGGTATACGCTTTGCTCAGATGTGGAAAAGGCATGACAGATCCAGGTGAAAAATTGTGAGAAGCACATTCAAATAGGAGAGAAAACAGTTGTACAGTGATTTTAATCACAATATATTATAATTTAATCTCCCTGATGAACAGAATATGGGGAAAATAAGGGATGTGCCCCAAGGTTTAGAGTGGTTAGGGCACAATGAACCATACATGGCAAGTCAAATGGGTCCAGAACTCGACCGCCGGGAACCAATATCCATGCAGGGGTAGGATGAGGATCATACCATCTTCACTTGAATTTCAGCTGACTGGAGGGAGAAATCCCAGCACCGGTCTGCGAACAGGGCACATGTGAGCAGAGTGAAATAACATACATACATATCCCACTCAAATCAAATGGACTGGAACTGCCTCAAATGCAGTAACATCCTTGGCATAAAGACATGGAGGGGCAGTGAAAGAGGAAGAAACAGAGCAACTAACAAGTGCACCCACTGTGACCCACAACACTAGGGTAGTGCACTCAAGGTGAACTGAGTGAGGGACCAAGGATGCTCCAAACACATGTGTGAGGTATTCTGTTGATTAGTTCAGCCCTAAATCCAAAACGCAACAGCTGGGAACCAACATCCATGCTGGGGGAGGATAAGGGATCCCAATAGAAGGGATGAACTGCATTTATACCAGCACACTACATGTGTGAGTACATCATGTCGATTGATTCAGCTCGAAATCCAAAACTCAGCTGCCGAGAACTGACATCCATACAGGGGTAGTATGAGGGATCCCAATTGGCACAACATGAATGTGTACAATATGTTAATTGGTTCAGCTCTAATTCCAAAACTCAGCTGCCGAGAACTGACTTCCATGCAGGGGTAGTATGAGGGATCCCAATTGGCACAACATGAATGTGGACAATATGTTAATTGGTTCAGCTCTAACTCCAAAACTCAACTGCCAGGAACTGACTTCCATGCAGAGACAGGATGAGGGATTCCAATCGTTATGACGGCATGCTCCAAATCTACAACATCCCCTCAGACACACCAGTACAGAGATGGAGCATCTACTTGGAGGACATCTCATCATCCACACCAGCAGAACACCACCACCATACTCTCAACTGAATGGAGTCTTTATTGTTTATATTGTGTATCTCTCATTCAGGAAGATACCTCCATGATCCACTACCCCAGCTGTGAAGAGTCTGGAGGAGCATTCACACCAGAGACAGTACCTTAGGTAACCACCAAACCCAATTTATCCAATCTAAAAACCCATTACACATAACTTCTTGAACTAAGATAAACACAATACCCTTGGCATTTGTTTCTGTGCTTGGTCAATTCAACCTGTTATTACTGAATTTCTGGCTCATAAAAACAAAACAAAAAACAATGCCCCTCAATTACTGATTTATGGTTTTTATACACATATATAACATGCACCCCTCCAATTGCAGTCAAATGTAAATTCCTGAGCATGCCCTACTCATAATTGTTACTTCAAATTACACTAAGTAATAAGCTTGGGAACATATTGTATGCCCTTGAATGTTTATAAACTACAAGTATTTTGATAATTTTACTTTCAGTTCTATCCACTTCCTACTATACAAAAAATTTAAGATGCTTCTATACAAAATTTTACCCCCTATTTGACCAACATGTTATGAATTGCCAAAATTTGTAAACTAATACAAGCTCCTCTTTATTAATCTAAACAACAGAAAAATCAAAAATAATAATTTTATTCAAAATGTAGTAAACTTACATTACACTCTTCACACAGGCTAAAGGGAAAAAAAAATTCCAGGACTTTCCAGGATCAAACTGTCATTTTCAAAGACCCAATTTATTGATTTTAACAGGATATGAACTCCACAAAATAACTAAATACAATTTTATTGTACTTTATAAAAAATGCAGAAACAGCTATCCAAAACATTCTAGAAATAACAGTAACACTTGAGCTATAAAAAAAAATACACTTAAAAAAAACTAAGAAACAAGCCATTAAAATAACTTCTAAGTGATCTTGTGTAACTGTCACATACAGTCCCCTAAGTATACTCAACTTTTCCTAACTTCATTTTAATAATTGGAGAGTGCACTAGCACTCTTTATGTATGGATGGCACAGAAACCCGCATTAAAGCAATAAAAAGTCACCTGGATTTTCTTCTCTACAGGTCATCAGAAGCTAGATTTGAAGAGCTACCTAGCATAGTCGCTCTGTCTCCAGTGTATATGCCACTTTTCAGCTATCTAGTGACATGTTTAAAAATCTGTGTATAAAATGTGCATATATTCAGATATTCTTAAGAAAGAAAATTTATGCAACCTACCAAAGTATGCAATTTTACCAATTTAATAAATGAATGAGAAACAAAGAAGCCACTTACCAGGATCATTGATACGGCTAAAGGGATGTCTGTGAGACTGACCGCTTTTAAAACAGTTTTCACAGTAGTCAAAGTTGTGACAAACACGACATTTGTATCTTGGGCCACTGACAGGATATGTTTGACAGCTATCACATCTGTCATGAAACAAATAAACCATTCATTTATTCAACTTACAGCAATTATCAACTTAAAGAGAGAAAAAACAACCAAAGAAAAACAAATAGTGCAACTGGAATAATGTTTTTTCAAATGGATATTTATTTGTATACCTTGAGAATCAAGTTAAACTATACAATATTAATAGAAATATTCAACATATTTGCTTATATTAAACAATACATCCCTTAATTACCATGATAAATTAAGTTCTGTAGTTCCAAGTTATATCATATTTCATCAGCTAAACTAGAGTGACATCAGAAATAGTTACCACGAAGTTTATACTTAAGCATGAGATGACTTTGTACAGATTTTTCTTATACACATACCTCTGAACTCAAAACCTATCTGTAAGGGTAGACAGGTTCAAATTTCTTTTCAATGTGAAAAAATAGAGAGGTGTGTATAAAAAATAAAATCCACACAAAATTTTAATACATGTTTAATGAACACATACTTAACAGCCTTACACACACACACATTAAAATAAAAAAGTTAATAAACCTTAATAACTAGCACAAGTTATTTCTTTTACTGATCTTTTAATCATGGTTCCTTAAATGTTTTAGTTATCATTGTTCATCTTCATCAAATATTCAAAACATTCTATATCTTACAGGGACACACACAACATTTTTTTTATATAATACACAGTTTTAACCTTTTCTGGGCTGGAGGGATGTCACTGATATCCCTTGAGGTTTTTCCTTCTTGCAATGGAAATAATTACCAACAGTGCATGAAACTTAGAACAAAATTACTAAATAGTATCTAGTTTGGGCTTAAAAAATTCATATACTTTTATTTGGTTTTTCTATCCCTTTTTATATCATGAAATTTCCAAACTTCTGTTGTAAGACATTTGTGAAAAAGCATTAAAATACTTCCTTTTGTCTAAGAATAGGAAATCTTTGATTTTCATTAAAATATTTCTTTGATACTATATTTTGCTTATTGCAGTAAATCTGAATTTCAGCTATAAATCTTTAAAAAAAAAAAACTGCCTAAATTGACAACTGGAAGAAGCATTGATACGAAAACTTTAAAAGAAAAAAGCAAAAAAGGCCTTAAATATGGATATAAAAAAATGCAATTTTCTTCATATTAGAGATCCTGACCATCAATATGACTGGAAATCAACAAGAATCTTATACAAAATGGATAATAACATAAAAAGAAGGATTAACAAAAATTGGTTAAGGAAAAGCCTGACTAATTTCAACACCTCCCAAGGTCACTTCAAGCCAAACCGTTTTTTGACCTCCTGTGTCTTAAAGAAATTTGAAATTTTGATATCACATAAACATTGTTAACTAGTTTTATTTCCAGGAGACAATATGAGACTGCCTGTGTAAAAACTAGTTTTTATACTATCAAGACTTCTAACAGTTTGTTCCATTTACTGTGACACACTAGGTCAGGCTAGGTAACAATATTCTTGGTTCAGATAAATTGATACCTAATAAATATGGTTATTTGAATACCAAACAGTCACAATAATATTCAATAAACAAAAAATAACTATAAAAAACTTCCCAATTTATCATTTGTTCCAACATCTTCTAACATTCCCATTATATTTTGTTTTTCTTCCTTGCAGAGGCTTGTTTTATCACTTTCTTATGAAACAATAAGTTACTTATCAAGTCTGTTTATTGAATATACATTACAGTAAATAGCTAATAATCTGTTCTATTTAAACTTTGCCTCTAACTATTTTCAAAGTTTAGTTTCATTTCCAGTTGTTCAGATCACAAGTTGTAAGATCATAAAAGGATAACAAGGAAAGGTGATACTAATAAAATCAGTGAGAGAGAAGAAAAATCACATGAGAAACACAACATAGATAATTTTATTTTTAATTGATAATATTTTCTTATCAAATATAAACCTGTGCTTTGGGATGAGCAGAAAAATTCACACCTGAAAGGTGCTCATGGGTCATAATACTATTAAAATATTTTATCTAGTGATTTGCCATAATTACAATAAGCTCTAAGAAACAGAGGTCAACTAGCAAGTGGCTCAGAATGTTTCCACATTTTAACAAAAGTCAACACATATTTTATAATATTGATATAATACTACATGACTACAAATATTAACAAATTTTGAGTAAAATGAGTAATAATGTGATTATCACGTTTTTATATTAAATTAATATCAATCAAGAACATACGTGACTCGCTCGTGAATACTTGGAACCCTCTCCATTTCTGAAACAAGTCCAGTCCAATTAGACTGTTGAGGAAAATCAACTGTGACATCTCTTCCACTGGGGCTGATACCTTGGGAAAAATAAAATCACAAATAGATATAAAAATGTGATTTAAAACACAAGGCGATGGACTGAATTTAAATAGTATCCGTGAGTCCAAGATTCATAGTTTAGAAAACACTCATAAATTTGTGACATTCTAAAGTCAAGCAGTCTCTTGTGCAATTACAAAAACTGATTTGCTAAAACTAACAAAGTTTATAATGTTTCTTACCATTGGTTTCAGACACAAAGTTAAAAACTATATTAACCAACTTAATACTAGAACCATTTGCTCGAACACTAAGGAAAAATGCACTACAATGTTATCATCACTAACCAAATGTTTTTTTTTCTACTTTTGATGTCTTTGTTAGCTTAGTGACATTTTGTTTTTTTATCATTATAATAAGTTTAGCATGGAAAGATACCAATGGAGCCAAATAAGAGATATCATTATATTATGGTGTACATACAATATTAAAAGACTAGGTAATTTAATTAATAACTATTCATTCTGTTTATTTGGCAATAATGCTGTAGACAACGTGAAGAAGGATAAAACATGCTTGTATACAACACTACTTTAGTGAAACAAAAGACCACTAATCTCTCCTTAAACAATAACAAAAGTGCACACACATACTTGTTACAACTCCAATACTGTTGTGGTTGACAGAGCCCCACTTATATTGAGGAGTTGAAACTGAACTTTTAACTCTCACACGGTCTCCAACTTTTATTGGCTCAGAAGTGCTACAGGTATTGGAGATTCCACTCTGGCCAGGATACACTGGTGTGGGTGGAGGTGAATGGCCCAAAAGTTCTACATGGATGTATCGTACCCAGTAAATTCCACCTTTTCTTTGCCAGTCCACTTGCACATTTAAATCATGAAGCCCATCTCTGTCCAACTTTAAATAGAAAGAGCTTTCTGTCAAGTTAATTAGAAATTTAGTAAACACAAAATTTCTTCAGACCTTTCCAACAGATTCTGTAAAATGTGCAAGAAATCTAATTAAAAGGATCAGAATAAATAGAAGCTGAAACAAACACCAATTTAAAAACAAAAAACTCATGCTAATCTCTAAAAACTAGATAATTTTTAAACTTACAGTAACAACACGACCAACATCACTCTCATGAACTTCTTCATAAGTTCGACAACATCGTACCCACATTCCAGGTTGTATGTGGTGACAAATGTAAAGAGCATATTCATCATTACTGAGGAAGTCACTTCTCTTTCTATAAGTATCATGATTGACTGGCTGTAAAATTAAACAGAAAATATCATTAAAAATAATATATTCAGATAATTTTATTATGTCCATTAGTAGTCAAAATGAAGTAACAAGAAATTATTCAAACATGAACAAAAAGAGAAACACAAACTGATGTATGTAATTACTTATCAGTCCCAAATCAAAGAAAGTAAAAAATAAAAAAAAAGAACCAGCAAAATGGACTAATCACTGACAAGATCTAACTTGTCATAGATATATAGCCAATTCATAACATTTTATTTTCTCTAAGTTGATCTTTTTATTAGACAAATTGTTGGAGTCTGAAGAAAAGAACATACTCCAGATATCAGACAAAATATTTTTTGTCTCTCATGGTAATGACTCCTTAAAACTTACATCAGTTTGTAAACACACACACAAAAAAAAAACATGTTTAAAAAATTTTGTAAAGGAATCTATTGAAAAGTTCTTTCATGATGACACCTTGCTACCGAAAATTCAATAAAAAGTAAACTCACTTATAAGCTCACTTCCTTTCAATTTTAGGTAAGGAAAGACTGCAACAAACAAAGTCTGCCATATAAATAAAGCCTGCCATATGTTGCATCACTTCTCTCTTCACAATATTATGTTCTGCCTTTTCTTAATCTTTACAAAGTTTTTACATATTCCAATCTACATATGATAGTCAATTCTTCTATCTCTTCTTGGCATACCTTTACTACTTATTTTTCTATTTTTTTTCAAATATCTATATTCTAAATTAACCTTGAGTTTCTAGTTTGGTTTTATAGTATTTTTAATTAAATGTTATTTCTTGGAAAAAATCTGCAAATTAATAAAGTTTTGTTGTTTCTTTATGGAAAAATAAAATATTCATTGTATTAGGTAATTAAAGTACATGAAAACTGAAGCTTTTTGAGCTTTAAAAGACTTCAGTATTGCCCCAATTCCTGGTTATCTCTCCAGGAAAGTTTTCTAAAAGTAATAATTTAAGGTATTAAAAGTCATTTTATTTTTTTAATAGACACAT